TAGGCTCACATGTTTTATTTATGTTCTATCCTTTCTATCTCTCTCTTTTCATCCCTCAATACCCTTCCCCAGTGTAAGATAGCGAACCGGATGCTCGTATGGTTAACGTGCCTGCCTTTCCTTCCTCTACCTCCTCTTTCTCCGCAAATATTCATACTGTAAGATATTGCCCTAATATGCTATATGTTAGATTAACCACCGTATTCCAGAACGTTCCTTCACTCAATGCTTCACCTTGACCTGAAAAAGTCGATAGGAGCGCCGTCTCTTGGCAGACCAAGTCACTGCATATCGGCAATATTCTGCAACGATTCTTGAGAAGCGCAGTGTCAGTTTCAGCTGAGCAGTGGCGCAGTGCTCCACTAAGTCAAGTGAATGGCTGAATTCAAGTCGAGGAGCGTTTCTGAATACGGGGGTAACACTTTTGTGCGGCGGGATAATAGTGAAGGGATGCTGACAAAAATGTCTCGATATTTGGCCCAGTTTCCATCGCTATTTCGAACACCTCCTGGCTAAATCTGGTGCATATCCACCATATGACGTTCCATTATTAGCGATGATATCTCGCGGCCTTGCCTTTTCTGATTCTGCTCTATTCTTCTTGTATATTGGCGCGTAGGCAGAATCAAACTTGACCTATAAGTATCGCAGAGTTTATCTCGTCTTCGTATCCTTCTAAGCGCTGTTTTCTTTTAAAAAGAATTTAAAGGATTGATTGAAAAATTGTGACTCACTATCTACGGCACTCTGTTTTTTTTTTTTTCATTTCACACTGTGTAACAGCGATGTCAACGTTTTTCATTCAGAGGAAGATCATCGCTTTTAACAAAGTATACTTTATTTAGGGGAATAACACAAGCCAACCTTGACTTCGGTGCATCATGAAAACCATGGAGTCATCAACATTGGTGAACGCGCGATTTTTTATTGTTTGAGAAGCTGACAAATTACCCGTAATAAAGACACCGACTTCGTTTAAGGCTGGGTAGCCGCATAGCAAAAATATTGATACAGTAGGCTTGCCTGGGCTGGTGATAGCTCTCAGTTTGCACCTGGTATGGAAATTCTAGGGGGCATAATTCGTCATATTACAGTAACTTTCCTCTTGAAAAAGCATTGGTAAAAAACGCACACTGTTGGAGAAGGCACTGTCTCCATAAGCAAGCGAGAATAACGAATTAGACGAAACATTTATTTTGCTTTCACTCGTCTTTCATGCTTCACTTGTAGGCCAGTGGGGGAAATGGCCTATCCGTAGAAGCCATGGCCATAGCCGTAGCCGCCGTAGCCTGGGCCATAGCCGCCATAGCCTCCGTATCCTCCGTAACCATAGTGCGCCCGCTGGTTGTCGTAGTGGTGTGTGATGCCGTGGCTGTAGCCTCCATGGCCGTAGCCGTGTCCGTAGCCCCCATAGTAGCCAGCGCTTACCATGGCCAGGACAGCAAAGGCAACGAGGATGCACAGCTGCAGAGTGAGAACGGCCGTCGATTCAGACTTTATGTGTTTTGAAGAAATCCAACATTTTTGTTTTGCTAAAATCCTCAGCAACAGTGTTGAAGTACTCGTTCGATGTAAGTGCGAAAATATTATTTAATATCCCTTGGTTGTCCAGGCTAACAAAAGAGAAATTATCAAAAATGTCACACATTTCAGTGCACAAAAAAATTAAACTTGGACCACATGTCCATATATTATTTTTAACAAAGAGGCCGAAACTTGTTCTGATAGTGCATGGAATTAGAATTTCTGACTCAAATCCTAAACAGTGTTCCGCTTCAGTGTCTGCTCTAAACTGCACAGAGAAGACCAGTACATAGCGAACACCAACGCTTTTGAGAAATTTGCTCACGAAACTCCTTTTTCAAGAGTCGCTGCTACTCTCACGCACAATTCTATTTCTTCTAACCCTTGCTCGCTCCCTGTAGGAAGCTTGTTATGCTTCGATATAAGGCAGACCAGAATGAAATTCCAATTATTACAGTGAATGTTATGTGCAACAAGATGCAGTAACCTAGACCATTCTATGCTTTTTCGTTATTGGCACCATGTCCAAATAAAACATGACGCCCAATCAGTTATACTCACGAGGGCCTTCATAGCGAAATGCTGCGGAGTTCTGAAGAGCACGAGCTGTTATACGGGAGCTACGGAGTCCGACCTTCTTATATACTGACCAGTTCGTGCGGACCAATCCGGTTCAAGAATCGGAAGTACGTCAAGCCACGAGGGCTGCTTGCTCTCCGAAGGGCTTGAATGGATACCAGTTTCAAGAAACTCAAAAAAAGAAATAGTTGGACTATCTCACCAAGAATACCAGCTTTTCAGAGTCAGTGCGGGACGTAAACCATATGTATAAAAATACCTTTTCGCGGATCTACCTGTTGGTGCAGAAATGGTAAGGACCGTTATAAAGAATATCATACAAAATAATGCTTATGATTTTTATAGTGTAAACAGCTCGCGTACGTCTTCTCTAGGTCAACGTCTTATTTGACAATTTCGTATAAAGATGAAGCATGTTGTCCAGCAGTAAGGCGACAACATGGTATGTCTCATAAACTGAAAATGCGACCACCGTCGTCAGCGCAATGTATAAAAAAAGGTTAGCAAGCAAAAACAGTAAAGGTCTCATGATACTGACGTCAATTAACGAACGAAGTGCATTGTTGTATGCACGTTGGCGGCGACCGGCAGTGACTTGAACACGAAAGGTGCCAACAATCACATGATGTCATGTAATGGCACTTCAACAGATCAAACGCGAACCTATACCAGAGGGGGTACAGCTTAGGTGATGTCCAGAAATGTTGGAAGGGATTGACGATAAAAACTGGTAGAGCTTACACCAGGCCACACAGTGCTTAACTGGGCGATTTTGAGAAGGCTAATCTGGTTGCTTCTAGGCTGCTTTCTATACCTTATCTAGGTTGTGCAGGTTGTTTCTAGGTCGGTTCTACATATGTGCATGCTCAGCTTTGACTAGGTCACCCTCTTGTTCTCTCCAGCTCTGCGGTCGTACCAGGGATCGGCTGGACGTTACGGCTACCTCTACCGCATAAAAGCCAACCTCGTTCCGCGAACAGCAACCTCCTCTCTAGCAGTACGAAGTATCTTCGGTCGTCTCACGGTTGCTACTGAGCGAGTGCTCTTTGCCTATTTTCTCAGACATATGACGCCTGTGCTCTCGTGAGAGAGTCGTTGAATTGTGCTTTTTTTCTAACGTTGCTTAAACGAATCACAACTTTAATTTATTGCGACCGCTTTTTCAAGACTATTCATTATACCATCATTTTTTTTTGTATCCATGCTTTCTAGTGGTGAATAATATGGTACCAACATTGAAGGCGTAGTAACCAAATAAGCATGGTAGCTGACAGCAGCATTCAAGAAGTATGTACAATTAGACGTTTTCGTCTGATAGCGGTGGGCGCAGAACGTCGACGATTTCGAGTTCAATTATTTCTCCCGGATCAGGTTCTTCACGCGTGGTTAGGCCATTTTGCTTATTGAAACACTCACGTCAATATTGAGCGAAAATTTTTGACAGTTTGCACCTGCCAGCCATCCTCCGTACAATTTGGTGGCTAAAAGAGTCATTTAAGGGCGAAAGCTGCAGGGCGCAAATAGTAAAAAAATATAATATGACGGATTGAAATAAATGTTTTTTCGATCTTTTGGTAAATACTGCATTCGTTTGAGATGTTAACTTTCAGCACAACCTCACACATTCACATTTGTTCCAAAACCACTTAAATTATTCTGGCCACTGTCACTTTGAATAACACGCTTGCCAGAACACCTGTGAAATTTTATGTCTTTGCTACCCCAGCAGTATTCACTTCGTGAACTAAGTGCCATAATTGCCTAATACTCGTTCACTGTGCGACTTGAGGCAAGCCATATTTGGCTGGTTGATTTTATTATCCTATTTTGACAAATGCTCCTAGTATTATAATTGACATAGATCTCCCTAAGAAGGTGCAGTGTTGGCTTTATCATGAAATATAAAGAAAATTTTAAAAACGCTAGGAAACGCCAACGTCGTTTAAAGATCAATATTTACAAATTTAGTAAGCGCTATTCACTTGATGAAATCCCTATGGTAAACCAGAAAGGATCAATTAAATCTACCGACAACGTGTTCTACCCATCCATAAATACTTGGCAGTCATTATTACACACAGCCTATCTAGATGAAAGTGAGTACGACATTTACAAAGAACACTGTATGCGAACTCCTATGGGACATCTCAATCGACGTTAAAACGTTAAAATGCTTTACGGCAGTGTCAAATAAAGAGCAAGTTTTCAAAACGTCTTCATTTAAACTTTTCGACAAGACGAACATGGAACCATGGCCACATCATTTATACATCATCATTATCAACATCATCATCGTCGTCGTCAGCCTGACTACGCCCGCTGCAAGGCAAAGGCCTCTTCCATGTTCCGCCAATCAACCCGGTCTTGTGCTTTCTGCTGCCACATTATACCTGCGAACCTCTTAATCTCACCAGCCCGCCTAATTACCTCTCTCCCCTTCATGCGTTTGCCTTCTCTTAGAATCCAGTCAAGAACTGATTCCAAGAGGATTACGTCGACTTTCAGTGCCCAGTGAGTGAACCAATTAGGGCGGGAGTAATGCCTGCGACGCAGTGAAGGGTGCTAAGAATAGCTGGGTCCAGACTGGCTTTTGCTGGAATCAGGAGTCATTCATACACCAGAGCGTAAAATGTCCTACTCTTGCGCAGCGCACATCAAAATACACCAAAAAATACAGTGGGCAAGCGTTGGAACTGCGCTTCTCCTGCGTTCTCTCTGGTGTGTTTGTTGTGCACTCTCAAAAATAAATGTGTTCTAATTCGTACGGATAGGTCTTATAATTTAGAGAAAATTAATTGCCAAACATGTATTTTCAGGAAATTTAGCATAAGCTAATTCAATTGCAATCACTTTTCTTGGGATGTATAACCATGAATGTGTAAAAACAAACAATCATGACATGGTGAAGACCAGATGTTTATTGCGCTCGCACATGTCGTCCGTTTTTCATATTTTTGGTCAGACGTTCAGTTGCCTAGCCATAGTAGCCGTGGCCGTAGCCACCATAGCCGCCATAGCCGCCATAGCCGTGTCCGTAACCTCCGTATCCACCGTAGCCGCCGTAACCGCCATAGCCGTGGCCGTATCCACCGTATCCACCGTAGCCGTGGCCGTATCCACCGTATCCGTAGTGTGCTCTCTGGTTGTCATAGTGGTGAGTGATGGCGTGGCTGTATCCTCCATGGCCGTATCCATGACCATAGCCGTAGTAGCCAGCATTGGCCGCAGCCAGCAAGACCAGGATGACGAGGGTGCACAGCTGCGAAAATGATGATAGCGACAAGCACGTGTCTCAAGTGGAAACACCTTAACCGTTATCTGGTTCCAAAGTTTATCACGATATTTTTTGCTAACTGCTATCGAGTTGCTTCCGACTTGAGGTGTTAATGACGTCCACTACCACGCTCTACTTAGCATATATTCTTTAGGCTCCCTCAGTCATTCCTCTGGTGCCCCCTCCCCCCAATTTTTAGAATGTAAGAAGTCATAATCAAGCTGTGATCACTCATAGACTTAGCCATTCAAAACTAAGATCTGTAGTCGAGTGATTATTACTGCTGATGAATCGTTGTGGCAAGTGCATTCATAAAAAAAATACACTGATGCATAAAAATGATGCATAGTTTTCAAGAAGATTTTATTTACACAGCGATGAGCCCACTCATGTGAGTGCAAATAGTATATGCCTTCGCAGTGAACTCTAGTTTCTGACAAGCTTATTTTGTCTCGGGTAAACAAAACAGTTATTGCTGTCCACAAGTCCCTCTGCTTCCTTCTGCTACGTTCAGGCTTACGTCACCTAATAGTATTTCGAAAATTTCTGTTTGAAGTGTAATTAATATTAGCATAATCGTAGCGCAATATGCCCTTCAACATCCAAACAGATCGCGATGGAGAAGCACCGACAATAATCGACAAATCCAACAAAAAAAATGAAACTAGACGACGCTCAGCCGCTCCGCATGTATCCATGTAGCGTAGACAGACCCAGCGCCGGACTACTCACAATGGTCTTCATATCGGACTGCTGCCGGAGTTGCTTTAGGGAGCACTGATTCTCGAAAAGCGATCCGGCGCGTTTATATAGTCGGCCACCCGCTAGAACGGACCAACCGCGGCACGGTGACGAGTTAAAGGTCACCCTATAGAACATGTCGACGCATTTCGAAAGGATACCAGTTTTGTTGGAGAAGCGAAAAGAGGTAAAGAGAAAAGCAAAGCGATACAAAACTAAACTGCACCGAGTGCGCGGTTGGCTTAACCCGCGCCTACTGTACAGAGAGGCACGTCAAGAAAGCGTTCCGAAGAAAACAACGTTACACTCGAATTGTTCTCGTGGCCGCCAAACCCACGGGTCTTTTCTACCAGGCTCGCTGTGCTGGGCTGCCACGCAGGGAACCCGAGCTTTGAACCCCGCTGCGTCTTTGGTATTTTTATTTACTTAAATGTCTTTTTTTATTTCATGCAGCACTGATTATGGAAAACACAGGCAGTGGTGGTGGCGGAAAACTACGGTGCCACACGCGACCCTTGTGATCTCGTAACAGTCAGCTTTGAATACCGACAAGAGGAATAAGAGGAACAGGACAGTCGCTAAATTTACTAAATTTACTTTTGAACAATTCGAATAACAGGCACTGAAAACTTATACAATATTACTTTTTGAGCACTTAACGATAAAATAATCACGGCATGTGTAGAGAGGAGCTTAACAATACATGCGTTTTTACCAAAAAAAACACAATGTGCCCAAACTGAAGCGATAAAACAAAGCATGCTTCTTTTATCTCTTGAGAGGGGAAGAAAAGACCATATAACAAGTCTACTAGACTTCATGCCTACAGGACTGTAGTTGACACACAAAACAGCATATGTCACGCTTATTTGGGAGTCCACTCAGCTGCACACATTCGAAGAAACTACGGACCCTCCGAAGCACAGCAGCCCACTTCTGTCAAGAAAAACGTTAGCACATCTGTAGTGTCACAGATGCAGAAGCATTAATGAATGTACAGGCACTGAAAAAGAAAAAGCTCTTGCACAAGCTTCACTTGAGCGATTTTTTGTGTTCATGTTTCGTATGAAAAAAGGCCATCTCAATTTTTCAATCTCGACCAACGCACACAAAATGCACCTCATGCTCGCGCATGGCCTCCCAGATTAAAAAGGAGGACTTTCCCTCTCGATGGTTGCGAGTTTAGTAGAGACCATCACGCTCAGAATATTGCAGACTCGGACATATCCCGCAACCACAGAATTTGAATGCCTTGATCCCCTCTTTCCGCAGTCCTGCACTAAATGCAGAGCCCTGCTCTCTTGATCATATATGCTCTGGCGGTGCCCATTCAAGGTGGGCTCAAGTTTGCACATTATGAATTCGGACGAGCTCTTCGAAGTTCGGACATCCCTCAACTACAAGTTGTCCATGAGGACGTTAACGGCGAGAATCGCCGCCTCCAGGTTCCGTCCTGGTCGTCTGCTAATCCTCGATGCGTAGGCAGCTGACTTGACGAGCTTCTTCAGCAAGCTGTAGGTGAATCGTGACCGCGAGATTTTCTTCGTCAGCGACGTTTGGAAGCATGGTGTCGAGGGTCGTTGCCGAGTTCCGTCCACAGGCCAAATTGTATGGCGTCACCCCACACTTCTCCATTTTTATGCCAGTGCCGCACACAATTTCCAACATCCTCCACCCAGAAAAAATGACTTAGCTTTCCCTGAAGTTCTTGAGCAGGCTGCATCGTACTATACAAATTTAACAACACCCTCTGCGCCCCCACAGAGGCCACGTGGCACTCAGTAACACTAACCCAAAGATTACTAGTTTTCTACGAGGCCCAACCCACTGATTGTAGATTCATTCGGGCATCTCCGTGTACTTGATTTTCCATCAACGCTTTCGACTCTTGCTCTAGGCTCGTGCCTTGGAACGCATTGACCTCGCTGAACTTGCGCTGCCTCTGTGAAGTCTTCCTAGATTTAAAAATTCGCAATGAGGGCTCTTACACGAACATTTTAGGCAACTTTTCCTGGGTAATGTTTGCAGTTGACTTTCTCGTCTTGGCTGCATTTACCTTGAGAGCACCTGCCCTTTTTCTCCGCCTCAGCTTGGGTTGCATCATTCGTTGCTGTGATTCTGTCTTGGCGTTGGGCACCGGCAGTGATGCAGCCCACACAATCGGCTTTTTTCTCCTCCTTGGTGCCTGTCGTTTTCTCGAAGAGCTACATTCATGAGCTTTACAGGCAGTAGGCTTGTGTGTCTTCATAGCCTGTCATTTTCTGTACTCTTCCTGCTTGTTGCTGTGGCTGACATTCTATTCCTCCGGTAACATGTAAACATAGAATTAAAGATTGCCTCACAATGGACATTGTCTATCTTGGTGAGTACTCATTCTTGGTATCTTCTGCAAGGTATTCTGAATTTCCAAGGCCATCGTGCCATTCTATCGTAGTAGTCTCGTCACCCACACACACTCGAGTGGCCCCTCTCTTGTTAACTCTAGAGGTATTGGACGTTGACGAGGGCTTTGATAAAGCATCGAATATGTCTCTAGAAGCTCGGATATTTCTTCGTTGGTGGTCTTTCGTGTTGCATTTTCTGTAGTAGGAATGCTGAATTATCTGCTTCCAACACATTCCTCTATCTGTCGTGGGGTTGAGCCGTTAACCTTCTGTATGAAAATATCGCTATTGATAAAGCATTGGCTAGATGTTTGTGCCACAGGCGAAAAGAGCACTGCCGTTTGCACTTTTGTTCTGATCATTTGCTTTATACTCTACAAGTGGGCCTTTCGAGCCTTTAGGGCATCTTCAATCCTATACTCAACTTTGACTTTTCCTAGAATAATCCTACGAACAAACGTCGGCTTCCTTCATTCCTGCTTCTATGTGGCCGATGTCAACCGTGTCTACCACATCTTTATCAATTCCTTTGAGATGCTAGAACTGGTCTGTCAGAACGTGGTGAATATCCCGAAACTCACTTATTTGGGGGCGTTCCAGATGCAGGAGACCTTCGATGCTGGCGATGGCTTCCATGACGGTCTTTCGTACGTGACTACGCCTTTCGATTAGGGCCTCCATGATCCATTCCAGAGTCGGAAAACGTAGAAAATTCCTCACCGGCCAAGCGATGAGGCGAACTAGGCGTCACCATGCTATCCGTCACAAAGCATCGCATGATGAAGCTCCAGGCATCGTCGACATGTCACGCGCCACGGTGTGGGTCACGGTCAGGGTTAGGCACCGCACATGAAGATCCACCCAACGATGGCTTCAACAAAGGTCTTACACACTGCAGATGCGGTCGGGACGTCGTGAAAGTCCGCTCTGTCTCATGTCTAAACGTCCTTTCGCGTGGGTTTTACGGCACCAAAATCATGTGGAGAAAGCGCCTTACCTCTGTAGGTAATGAGAATCTCTGGTACACCATGTCGAAGACGATGTCCTCAATGAAGAACTAGGCTCCCTCAATGGCACTGCCTTTGGACAAGGTTCTTGTTTCGGCGTAGTGGTTGAGGCAGTCAGTCGCTAAGACGATCCTCTTATTTACGCAAGTCGACGTTAGTAATTGCCCCAGGAGGTGCATCGAATAAAATTAGTTCGCGTCGGGGAGCTGATTGAGTGCATCGTCTAGACTTGGGAGAGGATACACGTCTTTTTGTGTGATTTTATTATGGCGACGATAATCGACGCAGAGACGTATGGTTCCATCCTTCTTCACTAACACCATGGGGGACGCCTACGGTCTTTTGGGCTGCAAGATGAGGTCGTCGCATAGAATTCCTTCGACTTGTGTCTTTACGGCTTCACGTTCTCGCGTCGAAACCCTGTTCGGACTCCGGCTGAGTGGTCCGGCATTTTTCTAAGTTATGATGCGATGTTTCACGACAGCGATCTGCCGAAATTTTGGTGACGACGAAAAGCAATCCTCGTATTGCAGGAGCAGGGTCTTTAGCTGTTCGTACTAATGTTTCCTATAGGCAGGAACAGTGATGCGAACTACTTTTTTATTGTGACAGTGATAGTATGGACACTCTCGGCTGGATTTCGCCACCGGCGTCGGCGTCGATGTCATGCATCGTATATGTATACGTAGCTATATATATATGAACACGTAAAAAAGAGGAAAACCAGAAAAAAAGACACCGACGCGCGGTGTCCAACGTGGGACCACCGCGTCATGAATGCGAGACGTTAACCACTCAGCCACCGAGCGGTACACCCTTTAACGTTCAAACGACAAGCTATTTATATCTCTCACTTACCGCTGTTGACGGCCATCTCGGGGGGAACTATCGTGTTTTTCAGCATTATCAGCAAAATGGCGTAATGAGCGCGTTGAGGCTCTCATCTCTCACGCGTATTTTGGCCCGCGGAGACGAGGTGAGTGGACGACCTCTCGCGCACCCTTATCTCCCGGTCGGGAGGATCATATGTCTTTGCTGGCTTTGGGCTTGCACGGGAACGATTCTGTTGTAGTTACGGGGCGCACAAAGGTCACTGCGATTGCTGCACAGCCTCCGTTTGCGAAAAGGGCGCGCTTTTCAGACACAGCGAAGTAACAACTGAGACGCTTATTCGCGGTCATTCTGTACCTGTGAGTACGTTTCGTGCGTCATTCGTGCGTGAGAAACGTGAGGCACGTTTCGATCTGCTTGCCATCCTGCACGTGATCTTCCAATCTGTTGCTATTGCGTTCATTGCTTCGCCTTTGTGGCTGTTACTTTTTTTTTCAAGATGAATTGTACTTCTCAAAAATATGTACACTTACTTTTTCCAGAAGCCAACAGAAACATTGCAACCTTCCTCGATCGAGCACAGCTTTTTTTTTATTGTTTGAAACTTGACCTTTCTTTAGAGCTTGAGGACTGAGGGTGTAGCCAAGGAGACAAGGTGAGGTTCAACACCTCCAATTTTTTTTTCAATCTTACTTGAGTATATATACGCACACACATACAAACGCACACACAACATTACAAGTATGGTTGCCCCCCTCCCTCCTCCCGGAAAAGATTTAAGGCGACCCAAGAAATCAGTATCTC